CTATTTTAGTATACTAAATACTTGCAGTTGCAGTCACTTTATCTGAATCAAAAACAGTTTTCAGTACTTTATAGAGTTTTGTTTAGTAATTTCCACACTTGGAAGAAAAACAAAATAATGCAATTTTTTTTTACTACCCGGTAGTCAGTCTGGTAAAAAATGTTCTGCTTCAGAAACCTGTTTTGAAAACAATATATAAATTTAATGCTACTACATTCTTTAACGATTGGTGAATAGGAACAAAAGTCATAAATTATATTGATTTATTGTCCAAATTGCATGGTTTCATGAGCTATGATGCAAGATACTCCCTCACAGACCAGTGTGTGATTCTACAGAGAGTTTACATGTTTGACCTCACTAAAAACTGATTGGAGGCACCTCCAAAGCAAGTGCCCAACCAGGGTTGGTGTACAACAAAATTGTACATGTAGTTGTAAGTACTACAAAATGACTTGCTATGTTTTCAAATGTGTGTAAAATGTCAGCCCAATCTCTGGCTGTGCAGAAATGATCTTCTACTGTAGACATATCCATTCTATTTTTTTCTTGATACAGTTATAATTGGATAAGGCATTGAAAAAAATATCTCTAGTATTGCCAAAGAAGGTACACTAGAATATAATAGCAATGCTGTATAGAATCTGCAAAGAACCATGGCTGGCGAAGATGATATGTATTGTACTAATATAAACATCCAAAGTAAGGATCTGTTATTGGTTGATGTTATGTGTAATCCAATCTCCAAGACAATATTCATACTTACAGTTAATGATGACAGCATTGGTACTGTTTCTAGCAATGTTTCATACATTTTTCTCTTCCTAGCAGCATTTTTCAGCACAATTCTTCTAAATGACAGTCGGTCCTAATTACAAATGACAACATTGTTGACAACTATTACACAAGAAAGGTATATACTTGCTATATTAGTAGGGCATACATTTATGTAAATGTTGTGTCTATAGTCAAAAATGCCATATTTTAATGATCAAGCATATAATAGATATAATTTCTAGTTTATGTGCACTTCTATCTAAAATGCTCTTCAAAGAGCAAACACAGCATAGCAGATAATGTATGACTTTCATAAATATTCCAACAAATCTATGAAAAATAAATCTGTCAACAAAGTCACATCATTTACACCACAGATGTCTTGAATTGACCAATAGGCATTCTAGAATATTCATAGTGATATGCAATAACCTAGATATATATGGTTGCCATATGGTATTGGTGATCAACGTATTGAAAAATCAGAATGTGACATTAATTAACAGTTTTAAACATCACAGCTGCACAGTTCAAATTTCCTAAAAAGTAGGTTAAGCTCTAACACAAAATAAGTGATGTAGGTGGACAATGTCTGCATTATCCTTCATGTCCCATGTAACCCTATGACCAAGATACAGTCACCTGTGGAACAGCTAATTCATGTAAATTAGGTGAATATTATGCACTGGCTTCAACTTGAAACTAATAACACATATAGAGTATCCCAGACAACCTAACTACAAATTTTCATTTAAATCTGAGAAATGGTTCTTGAGACACCTGTGGAACACCTACAAATTGGTTAATATGTGTAAATTAGGTAATTAATAAGCATGCATTTCAACTCTAAACTAATCAAATATATTGAGTATCCCAGAGCACACACAAGTGTAATTGAAATTTGTTTGAACATATTACTGTAAAATACTTTATTTTAGCTGGAATTAATTTTCGCTGAAAAGGCTTATTGGGTGTTTTGTATGGAATTTATTTTCACTGATTTTTGATGAGTTGAATGTGAAATATAGAAAAAAAAAGGTATATTCGCTGAATTTTATTTTCACTGAATCATTCCTTCAGCGAAAATACCAAAAATAAAGTAATCTACAGTAGTACACATTTTTTTATGAATTGCCCCCTCTAGTGACGAAGTGTTCCAAGATGTTAATGAGTGACAATGAAGGCCGTTCAAAGTGACAACATAGTGTTGATCTGCACTCACATACAAGGCAGCAGCAAAAACTCTTGTGTGCTTTGCACAACCAAGTCAAAATGAAAGGAATAATTACTCACAAGTGCCCAGACACTGCCATCAGAAACTGCAATAATTGTTGCTGCTCTAGGTGTGTTATACATAAGGGCTAATTCACCAAAACTTCCTTGATTAGTATAGGCACCAACTTTCTTGTTATTTACATAGATGTCATAGATACCACTAAAATAAAAAACAAAAACATTAAGTGAGAATTGAAGAAGTAATTGGCAAGATACTTCCTCCCTAAATAACACAAAAAAACAAACATTGCTACTGTAAAAAACTTTATTCTCGCTTGGAATTAATTTTTGCTGAAGGAATGATTCAGTGAAAATAAAATCCAGTGAATATACCTTTTTCATATATTTTACGTTCAACTCGCAAAAAATCAGAGAAAATAAATTCCGTACAAAACACCCAAAAAATTTGTTCAGCGGAAATTAATTCCAGCGAAAACGTAATTCACTTTTGAAGTTTTGCTAAGTATATTCGATGTGAGAAATGCTTAATTAAAAACCTGAAGAAACTTGTAACCGAGTACCTGAACTAGTTTTTGAATTATGATCATCAGTTGTATAAATTCGACCAATTTTCTCACACTTTTTTTATATGGTCGTTGCCATTTAGATGGATTTTCTCTTTAAATGAGCAAAATACCAAGAATTGTAGTGCTTTTAAATTTTCCCTATTTTTACTAGTCACATCAATTCTTCACCCCAGCTGCCTGTCTGTTTTGTCCACTTTGCTTCCGAAAAATAGATTCCAGAACATTTCCTGTTCTGCCTACTATAAATTTACATATTTAGACCTTCAAGCTTTGAAAAAAACACCAAATCATGCAAGACATGATGTCAGAACCAAATGTTGACACTTAGATAATTACTAAATTATATGGCCAAATTTGTCTACTGGCAAATTCAAACACCAAAATTATGTTAAATGTTTTCTGTTGTTTTCAAAGTCGCAGTAAATCAAATTACAATTAATTTAGCTGTGTTGAGATTGTTGTGCAGGTAAATAGATAAAACACTTTGAAAGTGAAGTCTTTTCATGGCTTGAGTTGAATACCATTCACTGGCACCTTTATCGACATCTATTTTCTCATCAGGAGACGAATTGATTTGGTGTGCGGTCGCATCAAAGAAAACTGATAAAATGTATTATAATTTTGACGCAATTGCAGCCGAAATGTACACGATGATTACTGCCCATATACGTTTATGCGACCTGTTTTCATCTGGTCAACGCTGCATAAACATTCATAATATTGCCCTCTTATCACATTTTTATATACTTTTCTATAATTTCTTTGTTAAATCTGAACCAAATAAACATTATGTTATGTAATGTGGCTATAGGTATTGATAAATATTTTTGAAAAAATATGGAAAGCGTATGTGACTTATTTTGTTTTAATGGTAATTTTACAATGAGAATCAACAAAATAAAAGTAAAAAAAAATTTAGAAATGTAGATAATCAACTTCACTTTATATGTCAGTGCAAATGGAATGAGTGATGCAAAATCAATAAACTCAGCATGATGGGAAAACTCACCTATCTATTACATAGAAATTGTCTCCATCATCTCCCTGATCAATAATATGTTCATTTGGTTCAACCTGTAACGAAAGATTAACCTATGATTTGTATTTTTATTAATTTCATAATAACAAATAAAGAAAACAGCCTAAATTTTTCAAGAAGAAAGAAGGCTAAATAAATTTTGCAGGTCAAATGCAATTTTAATCACACATACAGCATTCTGTGATCAAATGACTATGGCTTAATGTTGTCCCCCAGATAAGATACAAAAAGGTAGATAAAGTAGCATACATATACATCACATAAAACAAGGCAATTACATAATTGGGCGCTAAGAACCATGTGTTATTATAAATCTTCAATTGAGGATTACCACACATTGCAATGGCAATGCAGGATTTAGAAGCATTTATATATAAAAAAAAATCCAGTTTTTAAGTAACTGAACACTAGCGAGCCTAATGGGTTAATGGTACTTGTTTTTTTTTTTACTTGGTCAAACAGAAAGAATTACTCAGGAGATTACAGCAATGCATTGTGGGCTACACAGTTTTGTACAGACACAGGTGAATTACATGAAGAATTCCTTTTGCGCCCCAAATCATGGCAGGCAGATAGTTTTAAATTATGCAAAAAGCATGGCATTAAAAGCCATGTTTCTCAAACTCCAATTTCACTGAGAAACATGGGCTTCTTGTGGAGAAAATTCCACAAAAATAAGGCTTTGAAGGGGACACTGCTAATTAGTATGTAAGATAACACCATTGCTTCGCGTTTTACTTGCTTATCAGGTGAACATGCAGACAAACACTCCCAATACATTTTATGCTACACAATTCTACTTCTGATCAAGAATGACATTAGATACAGAATATTAACACAGATAAATGTTTGTCCAATTTTCTTTTCTCAAGCCACTAAATATTACAGTTAATAATATATCTCAATTCCAAATAAATGCCATCATCTACCTGCCACTTAAATTGATCATTACACTATATTTATATTATACACCATTAGATAAAATTGTGTGTTGACCACTAATTTTAAAAGATAATAGAAGCACAGGTATACACTATTCAAATCCCTGGTATTGGAATTGTGCTCCTAATGTAACTGAGTAAAATTTCGTTTTGCACTGTCTCGAAAAGCAGATAAATATGTCAGCCATCATAAAAGGCAATTAGTGGTCAATGACGTTCTTGATGATTTATTCAATCACTCAATTGTGATATGGTTAAAAATTGTTTTGTAACCATTCTAGGAATTTAATGTATTGGTGAATTTCATTTCACACTATACAAAAACGTGTATAATCAAACAAAATGATACATAGATATGTAGTATCATCTGAGAAATACTGCACAAACACTAAATAGGCACATGTCAGTTAACAAATTCATACTAGTACTTAAGGTTGTTTATGTGAAACTCATGATGCCTTCAAAATAGCACATATAACAGATAATATAGGCTCACCTTTTTTTCAAACATGGCATCAAGAACTTCCTGCATTTGCTCCTACAGAAGACAATAATCAGGATAAATCATACACACGTATGTATACTTACTCAACTTGTTTCTGCTCTAAATTTCATATAACACTGACATATTGTCAATGATGTAGTTCTCATATGTTTTTGGATGCGAGTGATTTCAAAACACAAAAGCGAGAAAGGAATAATGTCAATATTGGCCATTTTCAATTAGAAACCCAAGAAAGATATCAAAACCAAGTTGCTCAGTCACACCTGAGAAACGATTGATGACATGTTGAAATGGTGTTCTGCGGGACAAATATGGTCACTAGTAGGTTAAACAGAATAAAAAAAATTAATCAAGGTGCATATTTACGCCATTATGACTTTGTAACAATGAGCAAAATCGGTCAAAACATGCTCTAGAAATGGTTAAAGACGCATGAAAATAAAACCAATATGGCAACATTTAATAAATAATATGTGACCTTTTCGACTTATTCAATTCCAGACAGTGTTAAAAATCATCGCTATATAATATTGTTGTGCACTATCTTTCAATCAGAGACAACCAACTTTTTAAATTGTCAAAATGTAACATTTAATTATGTGCAATCTTTGACTTATTTAATCCGTAGCAAACATACTATTCAAATTTTCTTATATTTTAACCCTTTGAGCACCACTGTCAACTGTTGGCAGCATCTACAAAATGATATCCAAAGTCTGATCTCCCCACATAAATGTTGATCGGATATAAATTGACAAAATTTTGAAGCAATATGTGAATATGTCTGTATGGTTCAAAATGAGGATGAAATTTAGTGACAGCTTTACTAAATTTTTGGTGAGAAAAGTATTTGGCACTCATAGGGTTAATGTGCTACATTTCTGACCAGTATGCCATCTAAGCCGATATGATACATTTTATAAACAAAATAAGTGGAAAAACAAAGAAAGTCAGGGGCCACAATATTTAATTTTTGCTTGTGCCTCAAATCATTAATACAGTCACATACAAGGCTGACCTCCCCAAAACAAGCCAACTCAACTTGACTTTGGGGGAGGATTTCATTTTGACTCAGGATCTCCAAAAAAAAAAAATCAGCCGTGTTAAAGTACTGTAATTTCCACTTATTTAATTACAGACATAAATAGATTTTTTTAAATCGTAGAAACATAATAGTTCAATGCATAATCTTTCTTACATTTAATTCGCATCAAACTTACTCTTTACATTTTCACAAGGTAACAAAAACAATATTTCAGACTTATCTAATTTGCAACAAACATGTTTTTTAAATTTTTGCAAAGTAATATACTACACAGTTAACATAATAAAAGATTGTGGTATGATCTATACAAAAATAATTAATTTGAGATTACGTTGTCATGACGTAATACACAACTGAACTATTCCATTTCAGTCAACACATCTGGATTTGTGAATCGTGCATACTTCACATTTCATTTCCAGTATTATATCAAAGAACATTATATATTTTATTGACACAACATTGATACAGAAAGGTAGAGTAGTAAGAACTAAAACATACAAAATACAACATGACTAGGAAGAATAAAACTACAAATGAAATAAAAGTTAAATAAGAAAATAGCATAACAGGATTTGGACATAAGAATAATTATTGAAAATAATTTGATTTTTTTTATATGGACTTATTCAAGTTGTGCTCAGTCTGGAAGTTGCTCTGTTGTACATAAACATTTTTCTATATTCTATGCCAACATGATATTAAGAAATGTTTTATCTCAACTTGTGATGTTTTTCATCTTTGAAATTTTGAATTACTTTTGTTGCATTGTCAAAAAGTATATTTCCTTGCTGTTTGTATTTTGTGCATGACATTACGAAGTGTGTCTTGTCTTCAATTTCCTTGACAGGACAAAGCTTCCAAATTCTTTTGTCAATCAAAAGATTTTCTGTGTCTACCTATTCCAAATTTGAGACAGTGATTACTGCGTCTGAATTTACTCTTAGATGACTGTTCTCTTTCAATTTTCACACAACTACTTTAAACCCTCATGGGAAAACAATTTTAATGTTTAATCTGACATATTCATCATTATACCAAAATTTGACATCAACAATATGAAAAGGGAATGTCAAGGCTATATTGTATTTTCCTATTAATATCCCACAATCCATACAACAAACTGTGTCAAAACTGATACAAGGAAAGTAAGAATAGCATAATCATTTGCATACATACCTGATCTAAAGCCCTGAATATGAGAATATTTTTAACAGCTGCAGCGAGACGCTTCCGCTGATCATCTGTTTTGGGAAAAACAACCTGGAAATAATAATCACAAAAACTTTCATTATAAAAGGCATGTACAATAATACTGTCAAAACAACAATTCAATAGATCTCAGGAGTGATTGGCAACTTTAACATAACAAATATTTAATTAATGCTGTAAACAGCATCATTAAACAATTCTCAAACTTTAATGCACTTGGTACATACATGTACATGCTACAAGTGGTTCTTAAGAACATTTTAAGCATTTGAAATCCATTTTTTGAAAAATGCAAATGGCAGATGATCATTACAGTTTTTATTTGTGAAATGGTTTGCCCATATACAAGTGATACATTAGAATCAGAAACAGTTAGTGCATGTTATGTTATTTTGTTATGGTGCAGATAATGTCATAATCTTCATTAGGTCAATCACTTGATATGGTTCTGTGATGAATGCATGTGCATCGTAATATATATATATATAAAGTTTGAATGTGAATATACAAGACAGGTTACACACAATCTGTAACAGCGTTCATTAATGCAGTTAGAAAGCCTGCGTTGATCAACACTGTCATATACTTTTGAGGTCATTATATCCACAGCAAACACTGTATTTGTGCGAGTGTTGAGAATGGGTTATGCGCTTGGAATAAAAATTATGAATAAATGAGAAAAGTTTGTTTTTCAGTAAACCAGAATGTTTCATCACCTTATGCACTTCATCAGAATGTATTTTTACGAAAGCATACTGCTTCACTGAAATAAACTCAGCAGACTATAGCTGGTTGCATGAGGTCACTGTTAATTACACAATGCTATACAGCATCGTTGGCTGAATATATTTTCTTGCGATTACTATTAAAACTAATGTTGACACGTCTTGATACATCTGCTCAGCGATGTATACAGTCACATGAGGACACTGTTACATTGTAGCCAAACACTATAGCATAGACTCCAAAAAGTATATTCTTTCTTGATCAAACAACTTTCGCTGAAGTGTCATGAGAACACATGAGACAGTATCTGGAGGATCTTCAATTACTAGATTGACAATATCTTTTAGAGAACTCTGCTTACTGAATCAGTGGCGAGAACTGGAGCCACGTTCAGCATGAAATCACTTATGTCTGATGTTTGAATGTGGTCAGTCAAGGCATGTCTGAGATACAGGTGGAGACGCACATCTGCGTGGAGGTCATTTCTTAAGTGTCTGTTTTAGAACTTCCTCAGAAGGTGGACGAAAACACATCATAGCTGCTAATTTATAATTCACTGACAACTGAGCTGAAATTTGTAAGGCAAACTTCACAGAACTTAGTGAGGATAAGGTTCACACAAAACACGTCTTCCCTCAGAAGAACTATCCACAAAAATGTATTAGATTTCATATATGTGGAATGTTCTATTTTATAGAAATTGAGATGACAAATATATTATTTATTTTGCCTGACTTATAATAGTCATGCACAGCATACAAGACCTAGCAAAATTAAAGGAATTAATATTTACAATAAATTGTTTAAAGATAAACAAGAAGAATTATCTTCTTTATGTATACTTATAAATAATTATTACGACATTGTTGTACAGTTTGATTTTGATTTTGTTTTTGAAGAAAGAACTTGATTTGATTTGATTTGATTGAAGAAATCAAATCTGACACATATTACCAACCAGTAACTGCGAATCAAAAGAAGTTTCGTTAGTTACATTTAATGTATTCACCTGCCTTGTATTTCCATCCTTAATTTATAGGAATTTCCTGAGAATTGATAGTGTGCACGGAAACGTATTAACCCCCAGGGCTGAGCCATAATACATAAATTAGAATAAATTTAAAAGGTTAATACTGATGTTGAAAGCTGCTAGCTGGTCCATCATTTACAAAGTATCCATCCGTATATTTTCCTATCTAAGAAAATTTACGTAATGTTGCATTACAACAAAATTAAACTAACCAAAATTAAACTAACTAAATGAGAGACAATATTTATTGACATTATTCTATCAAATGTAGCTAGAAGACTAAACAAAAGCTGACAACATTACCATTTAATTTACCAGATAATTTAATAATAAATAATGGCTTTCAGTTTTAATATGAGAATAGTATTGTTATACAAGCTGTGAACACAAATTGGATTACTGCAACACAGCTACAAGGTGGCATATCATTATTACCACAGGCCTGTAAATACTAATCAAAATCATCTATGTGCAACAGTATTTTTCGGGTAATTATTTGGTTTTGAATTTTCAATTGATAAAAGGAAAATACATGAATATTTAAATAAGGTCTACCACATCTTAAGCATGCCCTTAGCTAGCTCATTTCAGTTCTAAATTATTTAAAACAATCTATGCAAATTGCTTGTCGAGAGATAATCTGTAATACCATTAAAGGTAAAACCACCACACTAAAATCATTTATAGTAGGTAATGAGTGTGCCAAATGAGATATTAAACAGTGGGAAAATACAGTAGGCGAGTTGATCTTTAATATTTATTGACCGCAATACAATATGCATTACTGTAAACAATAAAACAGACATGCTAATTACATTACAAATTTATTATATAAATATCAAGGCTACACAACAAGTTAATTATAGAAAATCTGAAAATAAAGAAAGCAGATTTAAATATTTGATTTGAAAATAAAACTGTATCACCTGTTCCTTATGCATAAACAAGAATTGATTGTATATGAGAATACATGTATTCATCAAGCTTTATTAGTTATTACAAGAGTTGGTCAAAGAATTTGTTGATAAAATAAAATAAACAACAAAAATATCTTTCAATATGCACATACAGAGGTAGCAGCAGAAAACTTATAGTAGCCATGACCTAGGCAATTTGCGAGGTATGTAAATGTGTCGAAATGGGCGTAGTGCGAGTGGTTAGTGCTAGTAGCACTAATCCGAAATAGTACTAGATCTAGTGCTAAAATGGCACTAGATCTAGTGCTAAAATGGCACTAGATCTAGCGCTAAAATGGCACTAGATCTAGTGCTAAAATGGCACTAGATCTAGTGCTAATATGTACATAGTGCGAGTGGCATTGATATCGCATTGTCAACGACGTCAATACATCCCGTAATTGTCCGAAAATGAATTAATATTTATGTAAATTG